AGAAGCCAAAGATGCTGAACTAGACTCCACCAATGAGATCGAGGTGTTTGTACCGAATAGAGAAAAACAATTAGAGACTTATGTAACATAAATTAGCACAAGAAGACAATAAATGAACTAATGAATTAATGAATGAATGCATGAGTGAATGAATGAACTCATCGTTTACCAATTGTCTTGAATGTTTTATTTCGTTATTCTCATAGTTATGCTTTTTTTTTTAAAGGAATGTCCCTTTTTTTTTAAGCCATTCGAGTGTAATGTCATAATTTTGAAAAAAAAAAAGGGGGGGGGGGGGAACAATGTTTAATCTGTATATAAAAGCTTAACGAGACCAAGAAACTACAGTGCCAACACAATGTGAACGTTCTGAAAGTCAGTTGAGTGGGGTGGGGGGGGGGGAAGGGGGGGGGGTTGATATTAAAAGGGACAAGACACAAGAGAAACAGCCATTATACTTCAAAAGCTAGGCTCGCTAGCACAGTTGGCTTAACGGGACTGCGTGGCGACCGAGGGACGAACTCCATGTGGTCCGGGCTCACGCCTGGGGGTAGACAGAAAAGCTAACATTCATCCTATATTTACGGTATCTATCATGGAATCAAGGCGGAAGGGTTGCGATATCCATAGTACCGAGCCAAAGGCTTAAAAACTCATGGTTTCTGTATACTTAAACACACACACAGACACACACACACACACACACACACATATATATATATATATATACTTTAAAAAATTATCAGGGTAGATCTCACACTGGACATATCATCATCTAAACTACATCTGCAGTCTAAACACCGGTTCCGTGTGTGTGACAGCGCTTGCTTTTGTTTAAAGAAACAATTATTGATTTGAAACATTACTCAGAATTTAATTAAAGAAAAATTACTAATAGCATTGAACTTAACATAAGTAAGTAAGTAAATTATTTAAAGCCCCACCCTGGCTGTAGTCAGGAGATTGTGGGGGGGGGGGGGGGGGATAATATAACTCAACTGTTGAATTGGGTTTATGCGACTTGAGCTCAGGTGATTCTCATCCAAATAGTGGCACTTTGTGTCACTGGGTGTTTATCGCTTATGCTGTCCTGGTTGGGTTGAAAGTCACGCAAGCACTCCCTCTTACTTTGGGTATCCAGGGAGATACAAGTTTCTGCTTCTTGTTCTTCTGACTGCTTTGACCATAGACACATCGTGCGGTTGTAGAGTTTCGCTGATGTTATCTTTCAATGCTGTTTTTGGTTTATCTTGTGCTGTTTGTCCTTCTATTTTGTATAGTATTGGCAGTCTCTCCAAAGGGGCAAACTATTTGGTTTGCTGTCTTTGTATGTATTTTAGATTCTGTGCCGACTTTGTTCTCATATGACCTCATTTCTAATTTCATCTCTTCTATTTTTTTATACCAGCCATTTTATTCAAGTTAAAAAAAAAAATGTCGTACATACTGAACATAAATTGTGATTGTCGTGATTAGTGGAATCACTTACTTAATGGCGAGCCTGAAATTGTGTCTAGACTAACTCCTAATTTTAACGCAAGGTCTTGATAGGCAATAATTTCTGAAGGTGCATTGTAACATGCTGTTTTGGCAATATCCATATCAGTCCGCGCTTTCAATTCTTCTGGTAGGTTGTTAAGTTTTTCACATGCAGGATTCTGCGAACGAAAAGGGTCAAATTTATATTAAAGCGTAAAAAAGCACATTATATATAAAATAAGTGCAAACAAATATGCGCACACAAACATACTCGCACACACATGTAACAGATCCATTTCAGGATGTTACTCTTGTTTGGTAAGCTGGAAATTTACTAGGCCCCTGCCGACTTCACTGCCTCCTGAACTATTATGCCCAGGAGGCTCTTAATATCTCGCGCCCACATTTGTAGTGGTCAGCCCCTGCCTCTCTGTACAGAAAAGCGTACCTCCCATAACAGTTCTATTGAAACCATTTAGACATTAAATATACGGTAACCATGTAAGGACAAATTATACTGTTTATGTTTATTCGATGGATACACATCATGGCGCACGGGTGTAAGCACTAGGTGATCTGCTCTAATTCTAACTCAAGCTTGCTTCTTAAGAATCTCAGCGCAGTGCTCGAACTCCGTTGCACCGGTAAGGATCCTGAAATACTTTGAATAAATTTTTAACTCTGAATTTTGCCCGGGCAACGCCGTTATGTTACTCTTTTCGATTTCCAGCTGCCAAGGGATTTATTTTTATCTGCGCAAGAATACACAAGGGCGTTGATCTTACTAAAGAGAGACCACGGGAAATTACTAGAAGTTTACGTGAACAAAATCACAGCCTTCACCAGGGCTTAAGCCCGGGACCTCCAGCACTCGAGGCGGACTCCATACCTCAAGACATCTCAGCTCCCCCCTTCCCCCAAGACATACTGTATATTAATGTGCCCCCCCCCCCCCCCATACATGAGACCCTGACGAATGTCAATATTTTGTGACCTAAAATCCTCAAACAGTTTATTTTATTTTTTAGTTGCTCGGTTTATTTTTTGTCAGATCTTACTATTACCCCTTACGTCCTTTTAAGGACGTAATATTTTGTTTATTGAAGCCCCACTCTGGCTTTTGCCAGGGGCCGCAATATAGGCAGGCCATAAATATGGCCAATTGTCTGAACGCGGTTCCTGGGACCTCTGCACGGTGATCCTCACCCACATGGTGGCACTTTGTGTCATCGGGTGTTTATCGCTTGTGTGATGTCCTGGTGGGGTAGAAATTCATTCATTCATTCATTCATTTTTTGTCTGATGTCAACTGCCCACACCCTGGTGAGATGCACTTTTTCGTTATTTTGAAGCCCCACCCTGGCTCTTGCCAGGGGCCGCAATATAGCCCAGCCATAAATATGGTCTAATGGCTGAACGCGGTTTCTGGGACCTCTCCACGGTGATGCTCAGCCGCATGGTGGCACTTTGTGTCTTCGGGTGTTTATCGCTTGTGTGATGTACTAGTGAGGCAAAATGTACTACTACTACGTTTTTGTCTGTCAACACATACATAAGAGCATTGTTATTTTCAAATGATTCTCCGGGCTACCTATTCTTTAATCTAACACCCAAAAAAAAAACCTAAAAAACTGCTTCTCTTGCGTTTTCTTTTTGTTCTTGATCTTCTTGTTCTCGTTCTTCTTCTTCTTGTTCTTGTTCTTGCTCTTCTTCTTCGTCTTCTTTTTCTTTTTCTTCTTCTTTTTCTTCTTCTTCTTGTTCTTGTTTCTTCTTCTTCTTCTTCTTCTTCTTCTTCTTCTTCTTCTTCTTCTTCTTCTTCTTCTTCTTCTTCTTCTTCTTCTTCTTCTTCTTCTTCTTCTTCTTTTTCTTCTTCTTCTTCTTCTTCTTCTTCCTCTTCTTCCTCTTCTCCTTCTTCTTCTTCTTCTTCTTCTTCTTCTTCTTCTTCTTCTTCTTCTTCTTCTTCTTCTTCTTCTTCTTCTTCTTCTTCTTCTTCTTCTTCTTCTTCCTACTATTATTATTATTATTATTGTTCTGTGTCCACCGCCTCCCCCTCCCTACTTTCAATGAATTATATTAACCCGCAATTTTGTCTTTTGATAGTTCTGTCATCGGTTCATATAAGTAACTAGTGGCTGTTGTGAAGTAATTCTTTCTTGAATCTTTATTTCTTTTTTTCCCCTACTTTTTGTGTCGTAAAGCGTCGCAGAAAGTAGCTAGATGTATTTTTATGTCATTCGCTAGGTGCGTAACTTTTTTGCATAGCTGTAGCGTTACCGTCACTCCCTGAATCCATCTCTTTCTTAGCTGGCCTCTTGCCCTGTTGTCTGCTGTTCTCAAGTGGTACACTCTAGCTGCTAATTGATTTTTTTTTTTTTTTTTTTGCATTTTGATCAGGCCATTAGACCACTTGATTCTTTGATAGGCATCAAAATCATTTACCGGTACTGTGCTTACAATTTTATTAGTTATTTATTAGTGCCTGCGTCTCTTTTGGTTTTTTACCCAGCAATTCTTATGTAACTTAACTCAAATGTTGTATAATTTTGCATTTTTTTTTTCTAAACACTGGATTACACATGTGTATGTTACTGTATGTGAATGAAACTTATATATGTTCTGGGAAAGCTGACTAAAACGTCAAGGTGGGGAGTCCAGTTATCGTTATTGTTAAAATTCAGACTAAAATCTACAACAAGTAAAGTCATAATATGAACAGGAACTGCTGAAGCTTAATAAAGGCGGACTAAAACAAAAATGGTTTCAATATTTAAAAAAAACCAATGAGAAGGAGACAAAGTTCTTTAGTCATGTGATAAAAAAATGCGCACTAGATTAATCGTGACTGTGATGGCCCTGCTTTGCATGGTCTCCACGATTACATTGTGGCAAGCAGAAAGTCCGTGCTATAAGTGACGGCACGAGATACTTGTTGCTGGTCGAGTGCACGAGGGGAAGCCCGAGTTAGCCTCATGGGCGGTTGGTTACCAGAAGTCGTAGAAGACGGTTGTGGTATTAGAAAAGGTAGTTCTTATGTCGCGCTAATGACTAGTGTTTGAATATGTCGCAAGAGATGGAAGTGTGAATAATTGTTGGAGCATGTCGAATAAATGTAACGGAATAAACTGACAGCATGTACAAGGAAGCTAAGCGGCTTTGTGTTGTTAATCCTAGACGTTAGAGCAGTGTGAATCAATCATCCAGAGAGTGAGCCATGGCGGAAGCAGATATGTCGTAAGCCAAGGTGCGTGTCAGGTGACGCTGCAAAGCCACGAATCATTCCAAGCGTCACGGGTCATTCCAGTGACGACTGGAAAGATCACTTGTAGAAAAGGCAGAGGTAGACCAAGAGAAACGATGGTGGATTGCATAAGACAATGGCATTGAGAAACGTCATCAGCAGAATTGATCCAGAACACCAGTGAACGCCTGTGTTAACTAGAAAGGCAAATGATGATGATAATAATGATGATGATGATGATGATGTGTTTAAAGTAATAAAAAAATGTCTTACTTCTGAAGACCTTAAAGTTGACACGTCCTGATATTCAGCAGTTGGGCACGCTCCTTGAATTGCAATGAATTCTTGGCCACTAACACCAGAATTGTCCTTGTTCATAAAATCATTTTCTTTAACACCGTCGAAATCACCACATGCACCAGTAACCTGAGAACAAAATGAATAACTTTGAAAAGCCATAATGTTACGTGTGATTAGATAGGCTGGGAGGGGGGGGGGGGACCATACAGGAGAACGGATAAATAACTAGAGTATATGACATGATGGCACCGAAATCTCATACATTATATGTAACAAGCGTAATATAAGGTTTTGTACAAACATAGAAATATCATGCACTGTGGATTTGAAGAAGGAACATAGTGACAAAAAGAGAAACCGATAAAAAACATAATAATAATAATTCTAAAAAATTGCAGTATCAGTAGTTGTTGTTGTAAGAAGAAGAAGAAGAAGAAGAAGAAGAAGAAGAAGAAGAAGAAGAAGAAGAAGAAAACGAAGAAGAAGACGAAGACGAAGAAGAAGAAGAAGAAGAAAGAAGAAGAAGAAGAAGAAGAAGAGAAGAAGAAGAGAAGAAGAAGAAGAAGAAGAAGAAGAAGAAAGAAGAAGAAAGAAGAAGAAGAAGAAGAAGAGAAAAAAGAAGAAGAAGAAGACAAAGAAGTAGTAGAAGTAGTAGTATTAGTAGTAGTAGTAGTAGTAGTAGTAGTAGTAGTAGTAGTAGTAGTAGTAGTAGTAGTAGTAGTAGTAGTAGTAGTAGTAGTAGTAGTAGTAGTAGTAGTAGTAGTAGTAGTAGTAGTAGTAGTAGTAGTAGTAGTAGTAGTAAAAGAAGAAGAAGAAGAAGAAAGAAGAAGAAGAAGAAGAAGAAGAAGAAGAAGAAGAAGAAGAAGAAGAAGAAGAAGAAGAAGAAGAAGAAGAAGAAGAAGCAGAATGAGAAGAAGTCACGTAATTCAAAATTATTAGGATTATAAAGCATTTTTGCAGCGGAAACAACAACGGTTAGTTTCAGTTGTGTCAACAAACTCAGTAAAAGTAGCTAGGTAAAAGGTGCTTCAATTTTGTTATCTGACAATGGCTATATATCTGTTTGGATTTTTTTCCGAATTGCTTGGGAAAGCTTTTTCTCTCAGTGCTTTGCACCACCAATAGCGGTATGTTAGTTGAAAAGTTGATTATACCAGTAGCTATTTGGTGAGCTTTGATCAGGTAGATTGTATCCTAGCTCTGGTGTTCTTCTAGGTCTGCCAGTGGCGGTTCGTTGATATGTACTACGAAACTTCAGCAGAAGCCCTATTTTGCCTGGATATTTAAGCGCATGAAGCGCCCCTATTTTCATCTAACATGCCAGCTATCTCTGCTAACACACCCCTTAGCCTACGCATAAATCGGGGCCCCGCACAGGTCTAGCGGCTAGACGCTGGCCTGAGGATCCGAAAGTCGACGTGGGGAGGGGGCGGACTTTTTTGGCTCCCAGGTCGATCCAGCCTTGAGTGGGTATCAGGTACAGTCCTGGAAAGTAAAGGCCACTGACGTGATGTTGACGACATCACCCACCAAGTGCTGTTTAGAAAATAAAATATAGATCTAGCCCTATATACTCAGTGTGTTTATAGGCGTGGAAAAGGGACCTTCTGCGCACGAATCGGACTTAACCAAGCGCTACTGTACACTTGGAAGACATGTGCTCTCAAGTCTGATCACTGACTCACCGGGATTTTCCCATTTGTTTAGGTTACCAGCTGATGATATCACATTTTAAAATGTGAAAAATAATATGATATGTGTTTTCAATGACTTAAAAATATACCTTTTTTTTTTACATAGTTAAAGGTCGCAGGGCAGATTAGTATCTTTACAAATTAATACCTCGGCACTCCCTTCTCCCCTCTCTCCGTTTTCTAATTTTTCGTGGGTAGGAGAAGGGGCCTTAAAGTGCTTGAACTCATAGGTACCAACGCCAGTGTATAGAAGGTGTCTTATATATATATATATATATATATATTATATATATATATAGATATATATATATATATATATATATGTATATGTATATATATATTCGTGCAGCAGGGGAAAACCAACCCTGAGCTTCATGAACTCAGGTGGGCCCACTCTCTGAAAATGTCTAGGAGCTCGTGGGCCGAAACTTTTGTCGACGAGAGGTTACTTCTACTAACGATTGGTAGACCCTGCTGTACATGCTCCCCTGTGGAGTTTCTTCTTATTGTACGTGGCTAGCCCACAAGAAAACCAGGATATGCTGGTGACTATCGGGAAAGACCTTTTGACACTTATGGAATGACTGGTATCGCCGGGGGGATAAACTGACATTTGGAGACAGATGTCGACTGTGGACCAGGTTGATCACCCTTAACACAATATAATACCTCTGATTTCGCAAAACAATATAGAAATATGCCCCCCCCCCCTTAGGGTCTATCGAAAGAGGGGGAGAATGATGGACCCAATCAACTTGATACAAACGGTAACGACCCTGCTAGCCCCAGGACTCCGAATTTTGCCCAACGTCCGGGTTGGCTCTGTACATGCGGAAAAAGCTTCACGGGGTTGCATGGTCTGAGAACGCATGCCGGAAGGATGAAATGCGAGGGTGCTCCACGCAGTAAAGGCCGTCGCAAAACTACTACTGGTGTGGTAGTTTCTGAGTCGTTAGGGAACGAGAGTGTACCCCACCCGGAAATGCCCATGACGTCGACTGAGGAGGATTCCAGAGGAAGTGCGTCCCAAGATTAGGTTTCCAGCTGCGAGCAATAAGGTGTCGTGGTGCAAGTTAAAAGGTACATTATGTGAGAAACTAATTCATGATTTAAAAACGAAGTCGTTAGGCGATAAGCTTACAAAGTTTGGTGATGTAATATACGAGCACTGTTCCCGTGAGTTCGGGACAGTGGAAAAGGCGCGTCAAGCAGAATTTAAGCAGGAGGCAGAGGGACATTCTGAAGGGCAGAGAAGAATGCTCTCAGAAAACGGTTCAAAGCCGCTACAGGCAGCGAACGGGAGGGGCTGCATGAAGTATGGTTGCATTTAAAGAACAGACACAGTGCCCTCTGTCGCGCTGAGCGTTTTGGTAATAACAGAAGGGAAACCAAAAGGGAGCGAGAGAAATTCTTTACTGGCCCGTTCCAGTTTGCCTGAGGTCTATTCGAGCAACCGAAGTCTGGGACTCTGGTTGTCAGTAAAGAGGAGCTTAAGTCACATTTACGCAAAATTTACTCTGACAAAAAGAGGAATGAGCCTCTCGATAACAATCCAGAGATCCTTAGCGGCCTCAAGCAGCCTGATTTCCCGAAGGTTTTATTTAAAGCGATACCTCCCCTTTGGTCTGAAGTTGAGAAAATTGTGAAAAGAGCCAGCGGCAAGTCTGCTCCACGTCCAAATGGTGTTCCGTACGTTCTTTACAAGAGTTGTCCGAAAGTCCTACGAATGCTTCACGGCTTGTTGAGACAAGCGTGGAGCCGAAAACACATATGTCCAGTGTGACCAAAAGGCCAACGGGGTCTACATTCCTAAAGAGCAGGACTCGAAGAGTCTTTCCCAATTCAGGCCTTACTCGCTGTTGAACGTTGAGGGCAAAATATTCTTCCCGGTCATGGCTCACCGGCTCACAAAGTATCTGATGGCGAACAAGTACATCGATAAGAGTGTTCAAAAGGGTGGCATCCCAGGCCTACCTGTGGGCCTTGAACACGCGTCCATGATTTGGGAGGCTATTCAGAGAGCCAAGCATGAGAGAACCGAACTGCACGTTATATGGTTGGACCTCGCCAACGCCTAAGGAGCAGTTTCCCATAGGCTAGTGTGGTAGGCCCTTCGCATGTTTCACATACCGGCACAGATCAACGACATGATCGAGCAATATTTCTCTAAGTTCGCTTTGCGCTTCTCTACCTTGACGTTTACCACGAGGTGGATTGACCTACAAGTTGTGATAGCTATGGGGTGTACGATCATACCAATACTGTTCGTCGTGGCCAAAGAGATCATGTTAGACGGGGAGGGAGGGGTGGGGGGGGGGGGGCGGCTACAGACAAGGCCTTCAAATTGGAGATCACTGGATGCCGCCACTGCGTGCATTTATGGATGACACGACTATAATCACGGGCAGCGAGGAATCTGCCCGCAAGATTCTGGAAAGATTGGACGCGGTGGTCCAATGGAGCGGTATGCAATTCAAAACGCAGAAGTCTAGGAGTCTGTCAATCCTAAAAGATAAGGTTGCGGCAACCAGTTTTACGGTGGCAAGGATTAAAATCCCCACGGTTCTAGAGGAACCGGTGAAGAGTCTTGGTCACGTTTACGATTTGATCTGATAGAGCGGAGGTCCGGCGAATACACGAGTCACTGGCTACAGGCCTGCTCGTGATCGAGCGTAGCAGGCTGATCGGAAAGTTCAAGATCTGGTGTCTCCAATTCATGTTGATTCCAAAGCTCCTCTGGCCGCTGTTAGTCTACGAAGTGACGATGACTGCAGTGGAGCCGATGGAGAGGAAAATCAACACAGCATTAAGAAAGTGGATTGGTGCACCACTTTGTCTGACGTGGCTCTGAATTGTAAGCAGGCTAAGCTGGTACTCCCGTTCGTATAACCAAAGAGTTTAAAGTCTGCAAAGTAAGACTCGCCATGGTCAAGCGCGAGTCTTTAGACCCAAATATCATCGCTGTCCAGCCCGCTCTAAAGACTGGTCTTAAATGGAAGGTCCTCGATGCGATCGAATCTGCTCAGAATGCACTAAAATTGAAGGAAATTGTGGGATATACTCAAATCAACCGCCGAGGCCTAGGTCACGGCAAGGTCAGTTGGTGGTCCAAAGCCACAGCTAAAGAGCACGGAGACATGGTGATACAGCAAGTAAGGGACAATGAAAACGAGGTTTAGGTCTAAAAAGCAGCCCAACAGTCGCAGCAGGGTCATTGGGTCAGCCTGAAGAGCGCATTGCCAAGAGTACTCACATGGGGTGAGATCTGGCGAATGACCCCGCTGCGACTAAGCTTTATCGTTCGTTCGGCGTACGATGTATTACCGTCCGGTGTCAACATGGTGAAGTGGTCTGCGGCTAACGACCCGACATGCCCGCTGTGCAGAACGAAACAGACGTTAGAACACGTACTGTCCGCATGCAGAAAATCCCTAGGTCAAGGCCGATTTACCTGGCGCCACAACAAGGTGCTAAAAGAGTTGGCAGCTGTTGTGGACCAGGCTAGGATGAGGGCCAATGCAAGGGCCAGTCCCACCATCGTCCACATACGTTTCCTCAAGGCTGAGCAGATTCACAAAGGTAGAATCAACAAAGACGCATACGCTCCATCTATGATAGACTCTGTGAGGGACTGGTTACTGGCGGTTGACCTGCCTGACCATGATAGGTACCCTGAGTCAATCCGGAAGACCGACCTGCGACCTGACATAGTTCTCCACTCTGCGGAGAAACGGAAGCTCATCCTGATTGAGCTGACCGTCCCGTATGAGTCGCAAATGGACGAAAGCCATGTGTACAAGCTCGAGACGTACAGTGACTTAGCAGCCGGTCTAAGGAGAGACGAGGCGTACACAGTAAGGGTCTTCGCCGTCAAAGTCGGCGCAAGAGGTCTCGTTGCCACTTCACTCTACAATGTGATTAAAGAACTAGGCTTACGCGGTAATGAACGCAAACGGACACTTAAACAGATGGGCGAGGTTGCTGAGAAAGCCTAGAGCTGGCTCTGGGCACAACGAAACAACGTAGGGGACGGGCCTTGGTGAGCTGGTCCGAGTGTCTAGTGAAAAAGAATTTATCATCTCTTAAAAGTCCATCGCGTCCGAATTGTCTGCCAGTGTCCCTCGGCCACCTGCTAACAAAGTCCAACATGTGTCCGGTATACCAATCGTAAGCTTGCCGCTCGATCGTTCAGGTATGCACACTGCTTTAATTATGCTACCGCGACGCCTTCTTATCTCACAGTACCTTCTGCAAAATCACCAATTCGTCTTGTTCCTATCCGAACAACATCCGGTAATTCGTGCAGCAGGGGAAACCAACCCTGAGCTTCATAAACTCACGTGGGCCCACTCTCTGTAAATGTCTAGGAGCTCGTGGGCCGAAAATATTTTCTACGATAGGTTACTTCTACTGACGATTAATAGACTCCTGCCGTACATGCTCCCCTGTGGAGTTTCTTCTTATAAAACGATTTTTTCTTAAATATCTACACATTGGTCTTGAAAAAATTAACGTTGTCATCTTCATCATCCTTTTACGACATTTTAATTATTAAGTGTAAGTGACTAAGTACATGCGTACTTTCTTCGGTAAAGTAAACGACATCCCTCCTGAGATATATCGAATATAATACCAGCCCAATAGCTTTATAAACTAATACTCATGTAACGTGGTTGATATGACACCGGTCGCTTTTGTTTCCAATAATTTATGACAAACAGGTCAGTATACATATGTGCTAATCATTGCGAAACACCACAAAGCCATTCCAGTATCCCGAAGGAAGAGGTGTCAACTTCTCCGATCTAAAATTTGATCCCTATTGAAGGTCTCCTTTCTCCATGGAAATACATGTTGGTTGAATGCATCAACTGAATCTTTGTTATAATGCAAGTGCCTACCAGAAGTCATTCCCTTGGCCGTAATAACAGAAAAGAAAAATTTGACCACGTTGTGACAACTAGACAAATAACTAAAAATAAATTAAAAAATTAATAAGCAGAAAGAAGATTTCTAACGGCCTTTTGTCGTGGCATTATTGTGGAGGGGAAGGAAGGTTTCTCTTAATTTGGTTATGGCATGGAAACCTGACAGCAAAGGAACTCGTATATGCTATGGGAGAGTATACGATTTTGAAAAGCACGATCGTTTAACATAATCAAATACATACAACTGAGAGAGTTAACATGCACACGCAAATATCTCTGTATGTGTATATGCGTGCGCGCGCATGTGTATACATGCGTTTATGTGTGTGTGAGAGTCTGCATGTGGTAATGCACGCACACATATACACACCTCTAATCACATAAATAAAATTTACTCACGATACGCCTAATAAATATAAAAACGTCATACCTTCTTTGCAAAGATTGATGTGTCTACTCTAATGTAATACAATCCTTCCCTAGTGATGTATATGCGAAGTGTTCCGCCATCAACGTCAACAAAGTAATAATTATTGGTAATTTGCCTAGGAATAAATCAAAATATAAGAAATGATTAACTAACCCTGAAGCGTTAATTAATGAAAAATGTGTTAAACGAATGACATGGTATGAATAATGTGCTTTTTATAAGACGTGAGACAAAAGGCAAACTATAATAAACATTAAAATTAACATATTTTATTAAATAACTATATAATTAATAATAACGGTCACACAATCCCTGAAATTACATACACACGCATTTTATGATTTTCCCCTTTAAAAATTACTTTTTATAATTAAAAGGTCACGTGGAAATTAAAACGAAAACATCATCACTATGTGTAAAATAACCATTGTAATATCATCACTCGGCGTAAAATATCTAACAATAACATTCCTAACATTCCATGTGAGAGAATCATCCCAGTCACATTGCTAAGGAGCCTCCGTCACCAAGTGGTCAAGCAGTTAGCCACACGCTCTGAAGATCGTGGGTTCGTTAATTTTACGAGTAAAGTTATTTACGGAGATTTTTGGAGTTCTGTCGCTAGAGCGGCGGAGTTCATAGTTTGTGCTAGACTCTCGGCAGGCGGCAAGCCGTTCTGCGGTGGGTGACTGGGCCATTTTGGATTTAACCCGGTGGAATTGAATGGATCTTTGCTTCTTTTATTGTAGCTTTTAGTTGCATCACTCATTGTAAGATAACTATCAAAGCATACCAACATCTCTTTTTCCTGTACATTATACCTTTATACATTATTATGCCCATCTCATCTCTAAGTAAACATCTCTCTCTCTCTCTCTTTCCCTCTCTCTCACTCTCTATCTATCTCTCTCTCTCGCTATATATAATTACTTCTTTAACTATAAAAAAAGATATTTGCTTCGTAGTAACTATGCCTTCTTCAAGTAAAAAACGTGCCTATCTCTTCTCAAAGTATAAAAAAGATATTTAAATTGTAGTGCATATTTCTTCTTCTAGTATATGACTATATTTTTATTGTGGCTCCTATCTCTTCTAAAAATATATTTAGATATTTACCTTGTAGTGCCTATCTCTTCTTCAAGTACCAAACGTGCCTATCTTTGCTCCAAGTAAAGAAAGAAATGATAATTACATTGTAATTTCCATCTCTTCTTCAAATATACCACAGATATTTACATTGTGGTGCCCATCTCTTCTCCAAGCATAAAACGTGTCTATCTTTGCTCCAAGTAAAGAAAGAAATGATAATTACATTGTAATTTCCATCTCTTCTTCAAATATACGACAGATATTTACATTGTGGTGCCCATCTCTTCTCCAAGCATAAAACGTGCCTATCTTTTCTTTAAGTAAAGAAAAGATATTTACATTGTAGTTTCCATCTCTTCTCCAAGTATTTGACAGATATCTAAATTGTGGCACCTATCTCTTCTCCAAAAGTACGAGACATTCACACTGTAGTGCCTATATCTTCTACAAGTATATGACATATATCTACATTGAGGCATCAATCTCTTTTGCATATATATATATATATATATATATATATATATATATATATATATATATATATATATATATATATTCATAGTTAAATATAATGTCTGTTTGGCATTGACCAGTCATACATGTGCGATTTTATATTTTTAATGTGAAACGTTCAACTGCACACTCTACCATTGACTCTTTACATATCTTACCCTGCTACTATTCTGGGAGTTAGTGCATTCTGTGTTGTGGCTCCAGCTAATGTAGTTTGAATAGTCGTCTCTGTTCCGTCCACGTTTATTCTCAGAGTGTTTATCGTTGATTTGCGATCACTTGTTGTGGTTGTTTCAAGCGTCACAGTAATGTTGCCATACTCTCCTTTATACTAAAATAAGAACGATCAGCACTTAGTCCGAATCTCAGCCCTTATAATATTAGGTATAATTATGAAATCAAGTAATCATAATGGTATTATCTGTGCATAGGAAAAAAAAAAAAACTAACGTAGATAAAAACAATACGGTACCAGGAAAATAAGTCTATATCCTCGATGGACTGAACATCAAGAAGAACTTGCACGTAAGCATCTTGAGTATTGTGGACATGCAAAGTGTCATGGTGGTCTTGAGAGGACGGTGATGGAGGGTGGAGTTTCAGGAAACGAGGTAGTGACCGATCTCCACGACAGTGGCTAGAGAAAGAGAGACCTTTAGGCGTTCCGTGAAAAGCGACGTTATGTAAAGGGCAAGGTGATTGATGTTGATAATTAGTAATAGGCCAAATGACAGTCCTGACAGCACAGTTAGTGACTAAACAGTGCGTTGTAGGAGGGATATTCTCTGTCAGTTTCTGTAGCCATAAGAGGAGACAGGTTCCACAGCAAGGGACTGAATTTTTGTGCCCCCCCCCCCCTTTTCGCTTTTCCCAACCCAATCTATTGGATCAGACTGCGATAATTGTTATATAGATGAAGAATGCCCACAAAAAACAATGGGGGAGAGTCTATACAGATGGGTCCGCACAAAGTGCAGTTAGAAATGGTAGTGCTGGAGTGTACATAGAATTCCCAGATGGTACTAGGGATAAGTCCAGCGAACCAACCGGGAAGTACTACCATAACTATAGTGCACAAACTAAGGCTATCAAGATAGCAACAGAGAAACTGCTAAATACCAATCTTGGCTCACAGTATGTGGTAATGCTGACAGATGCAAAATCTTGGCTCACAGTATGTGGTAATGCTGACAGATGCAAAATCTTGGCTCACAGTATGTGGTAATGCTGACAGATGCAAAATCCGTACTCGAAGCACTCTAGCCTAGGAAACTGGTTCTATGGGAGGTCTGTTTGGGGCTGTCTGTTTTGTGGTCTGGAGGAGGAATAGGGGGGGGGGGCGGTGGATGAGCTGTCTGTTTTGTGGTTTTAGAAATTGGCCGTTCTGTGGTTCAAGGAGCTGTCTGTTCTGTGTTTGTTCTATTTTTTTTTTTTGGGGGGGGGGGGGGGGGGGGGGGGGGGGGGGGTTTAAGGGGCTGTCTGTCTTGAAAGTCGAGGTAGAGTATATTTTACTGTTTGGGAAAATGGCTCTTTTGTGATTCGATGTGATTCGAGTGGCTGTCTGTTTTGTAGTCAGAGGAGCTCGTTGTGTTGTAGTCCAGGGGAAAAACAATCAGTCAGTTCGTCACAGGGTTCCGTTTATTTTATGTAATTGTTATTTTTTTAAATTTGATTTCAGTTGTAACACTTTCCATCCACAACGCAAATCTAAACACAACAGACTCTGCAGCCACGTGTACAGGAAATTCAAGACTGGGGATTCAGAACGTTGCCCATGTGGTCAGGTACCACAGAACACTTTGCTACAGACATGCTCTCAACATGCAGTAGAGAGATCCCATGTTCGGTCTGTTGAGATTCAATGATAACTATGCTGTACATAACAGTGGAAGACACGTATCACAGCACATAATCCCTCCATCTGTGGTGCCCCTCCATCTGTAGTGCCCCCTCCATCTGTAGTGCCCCCTCCATCTGTGGTGCCCCTCCATCTGTAGTGCCCCCTCCATCTGTGGTGCCCCTCCATCTGTGGTGCCCCTCCATCTGTAGTGCCCCCTCCATCTGTGGTGCCCCCTCCATCTGTGGTGCCCCCTCCATCTGTAGTGCCCCCTCCATCTGTGGTGCCCCCTCCATCTGTGGTGCCCCCTCCATCTGTGGTGCCGCCTCCATCTGTGGTGCCCCCTCCATCTGTAGTGCCCCCTCCATCTGTGGTGCCCCCTCCATCTGTGGTGCCCCCCTCCATCTGTAGTGCCCCCTCCATCTGTGGTGCCCCCTCCATCTGTGGTGCCCCCTCCATCTGTGGTGCCGCCTCCATCTGTGGTGCCCCCTCCATCTGTAGTGCCCCCTCCATCTGTAGTGCCCCCTCCATCTGTGGTGCCCCCTCCATCTGTGGTGCCCCTCCATCTGTAGTGCCCCCTCCATCTGTAGTGCCCCCTCCATCTGTGGTGCCGCCTCCATCTGCTGTGCCCCTCCATCTGTGTTGCGCTCTCATCTGTGGTGCCCCTCCATCTGTGGTACCCCCTCCAACTGTGTTTCTCTTTCATCTGTGGTGCCCACTCCATCTGTGGTATCCCCTCCATCTGTGGTGCCCCTCCATCTGTGGTGCCCTTTCATCTGTGGTGCCCCTCCATCTGTGGTACCCCCCAACTGTGGTGCCCTTTCATCTGTGGTGCCCCCTCCATCTGTGGTTCCCCCTCCCACTGTGGTGACCCCTCTCACTGTGGTGCCCCTACATCTGTAGTTCCCCTCCACATGTGGTGCTCCCACACTGTGTGGTGCCCCTTAATCTGTGATGCCCAAAAAAAAAAACGTATTCCTTAAGTAATGCCTATCAAGTCTAACACATTTCATAGCAATTTACATTACCTCTACAAGTGTCAAACGTCCGCACGGATTGTTGATTTTGTAAACGTTGTAATCAAATGGCATGATAAACCTGCCAGCATAAACAGAGCAAGAGCCATAACAGGTTGGCAAAGTCTCATTGCATTTCCATTGGCCACCTACGTCACAGGTGCTGAAATATTATTTGTTATAAAGCAGATATTAGACTTTTATTATTCGTGATTTTAAACTGTGGATGGATTTTGCGAGGATAATTATTTTATCTTGGGACCATTAAACTCGTTGGTAAATTGCTTTTATATTGTAGTTCATTGTATATTGAATGTATTTTAAATATTAAAAAAAAATGTTATCAAAGATTCAATGTCCACTCTACAAGCTCTGGAGGGCAGTGAATGTTGCAGAACTGACATGAAGAGATAATTAAATTTGTTCAAATATTTATTGGATTATCTTTATCTAAAAAAAACTACTGTGTTTTCATAATCATAATCATTATCCCTTTATGAGAATAAACATCGTATAGTGCTCACATGCCCGTCTTCTTTTCCGTTCTATCCTTTGCATCCATTTGAATACCATGGATGGAATTATGTTCAGCCACTTTGGATGCTGTCATCTCACCATCTTTCGTTTTAGGATTTCTATCGTTTCCTCATATATTCGTTGCCTCTACAAACCATGTACTCAGAGCCATCCTGAGTAGAAGATGCATGTAAACCATCTGAACATGGCAATACACGGAACCCTATCCAGCTCAAAGTTTCTCATGGTTACAGAAACACGTAACTGATGGTTAAAACTAATTTTTACTGGCACCCACGATTTAAAAAAAAAAAAAAAAAAACCTGCAGACTTCCTGGCGACTGCACTAGAAGCTAGTTATTTAGTTAGTCGACAGGTTATCATCATCGCATATAGAACCATAAAGTCCATAGGGTCTCAGATCCCATCTTCGGTATCTCCCATAGTGTTTAGTGGCTAATGACACCATGCACTAGAAGAGTACAGCATCACATTAGGCTAAAGACACACCCACTCTCCCCAGTTTCCTCTTCTAGCCATATGTTTACTTTTGTTCAGTGTAGATGAAAAAATGGCTTGGTTTCAGCTTGACCCACCAAGTGCCGACCGGTGTATACAAGTATAGGGCTACTGTCTACGGGGCTACTATCGTATGGGAACCGCCGTCGTCTAGCGGCTAGACGTTCGCATGCAGATCCGAAGGTCGTCGTTTTACGTCCTGACGGAGCCGACGGTTTTTCAAAACTGATCATGGCTTCTAGGATGACCCTCTGAGGCAAACCAGCTAAAAGGGCATAGCACAATAAGGGGACCAGCACTTGTGGATTCCAGGCTATTATGCTTCTCTGATAACCTCCCCCGCCCCTCCCCACACATGATTAAAATGTAAATCAGTCTATTTTCAGATCAACTCAGGAACCAAACGCAGAAGAGCAGGCACTGTGCAGAGCTCAACACACCAAGGACCTCTTTCTCAACCTAGCAAGCTATCTGTCTCTCTCCATCTTCCGACCTAACTATAAAATATCTTGGCACCTTCGGAGCTCTAATTTTTTTTTGCAAATCTTCGTTACCTCCTCTACATATTAAAAAAAAAAAAAAACGGCTGCGCACAACAAGTAGATTGTGACAGTCGTCCTGTTGGGAACCTTGTTTTAGGTCGCTCAGTGTGCGGGACTGTTTGTTTCGCGGTGGTGTGGCTGAGGACTGACTTGGTACTAACGCAGATGAACAGTGCAACAGCTAGCGGATAGCCAACTAAACAGGAACCAGGACCCATCAAAACCAAAACTTAGGCAACAAATGAACAGATTCAGGTGTAATTGCTCACCACAAATGAAGATAAATACAATAAGATAGCAAAGGAACCGTCCTTAAAAAAAGCAGGCCATCAGGCGGCTAAAAAAGGACTAAGCTTGAAATGTTTGTTTGATTTTAAACGATACGATACGATAGGATGACCCTGCCTTAAATGGGTTTAGGGAAAAGTCCTGGGAAGTAAAGGCGGATAGCGGGATGCTGACCTCATCACCCACTGAGTACCAATTAATTATTAAAATATAGGTCTAGCACTTTTTGCCTTATACGCCTGAGTGTGTGGAAAAGTGTCCTCACCCTCATAATGCAAACCATTACGTGAAAGAAGCCATTTATTATGTTTGGTTATAATTTTATTATTTTGTTTTATTCGGTCATCGCGTACATTTGAACAGGCTACGTTCAACATGCAGAAGATACAACTCGAAAAAAAATACTACTAAAACTAAAGTAACGCAGGCCAGCAGAATTCTTTGTCCGCGACATTTTGGGTTGAATGGTGCTTGTCTAAAGTAAGTTACAGATTTACATATCTAGGAAGTATATTCTCGGAGGACGGGAGAAAAGGTCGAGAAACAGAAACAAGAGGCCAACGAACCAATGCACTTACATACCAACTGATACCGTTATTAAGACATCCAAACATTAATATGAGGTCCAAGAAAGAGATTATAAACAGGACATTCAAACGGCCAAGAAACAGATTATAAACAGGACATTCATACCAACACTGTGCTACAAGTGCCAGACTTAGACATTATCATATTAGGTGGCTTCGTCTAAGGAACACATGTGAAGTGAGACACCTGAGAAATGCCGCCAGTTTTACCAGCCGAGACAAAGTTAGAAATGATGTTATCAAACAGACTTAAGGGAGAAGACCATGCAGGAAATTCTTTGAGAAAAATAAGAAAAAATAGTTAGGCTATCTAGTAAGAAAGCAGCCAGAACTACTTCTAAAGAAGGAATTACACATGAAAAGATCTGAAGGGTAAGCCAGAGGCTGCCCTGTCAGACCTGAATCGATGACATTAAAGAGCTGCTATATCGACAGGGTATTAGCCATTGCAGCTCATTAAGCAATGAGTAGCAGATTGTTCCTCAATATAACGATTAACGGCACAAGTGATAATTAATAATGACGACGATGGAGATGAATCTCGTTTGAGTTTCGGTGTCTTTTTTAGTGGGGGGGGGGGGGGGGGGGGCAATAGATTGACTGCTGCAACAATAAACAAGAATGTTACAAAAGGCGATCCTCCAATCTGAAATCTGCACTGAAATCGGATGTGTTGAGCCGATGCTACAAATAAATGTGCCTTCTGGCATTTTTTAAAGATGGTCACAGCAGCAGCAGCAGCAGCAGCAGCAGCAGCAGCAGCAGCAGCAGCAGCAGCAGCAGCAGCAGCAGAAGAAGAAGAAGAAGAAGAAGAAGAAGAAGAAGAAGAAGAAGAAGAAGAAGAAGAAGAAGAAGAAGAAGAAAAATAAGAAGAAGAAGGAGAAGAAGAAGAAGAAGAAGAAGAAGAAGAAGAAGAAGAAGAAGAAGAAGAAGAAGAAGAAGAAGAAGAAGAAGAAGAAGAAGAAGAAGAAGAAGAAGAAGAAGAAGAAGAAGAAGAAGAAGAAGAAGAAGAAGAAGAAGAAGAAGAAGAAGAAGAAGAAGAAGAAGAAGAAGAAGAAGAAGAAGAAGAAGAAGAAGAAGAAGAAGAAGACTTGGTTATGTTGGTTATGAATAACACTTACCAGACATCACATGTTCCAGGGACGTTAAATTTCTGTGATGCATTGTAATATTTGTTATCACTTGCTCGGCATGGACATTCCTCTCTTCGGACACAGTTGCCCCTATCTAATGAATAACCTTGAGCACACACACAACCACCATAAGGCTCAACATTGCAGCCTTTGTTATTTGAGGACTCTGGCAAAATGCCACATGTCGGCTGACACTTGTTTTCAATCAAGGCGTTGAACACTTTGTCTGGTGAGCACTTAGGTGCTGTTGAGAAAATGTAACAAGTGTTATTTGCAGGTAAATTATGTAGTAGTCTATGTTAATGTTGTTTTTCAAAAACAAGAGAAATGAATGTTTGTGTGTGTTAGAGTAAAAATGCGCATAAAATTAACAATTGCGTATTTTTTTAAATAGTCAATTTGTGTGTGAGGCATAACTTGTCGACATTCACACTAGGTCAAGATATCCGCACCAGGAGAAACGGCTAAATAGCTTTCACATGCGATACCTAAGAACAATACTTCGGAATAAATGGCAGGACAAGATCACAAACACTAAGGAATTCAAACTACCAGTACAAATTCAGACAAATGTGAAAGGGATATTTGACAAGAAAGAGCAAGATAGTGTACAACGCAGAATGGCCACCCTCAGTTATATTGATGAAGAATACCCACAAGAACAATGGGTCAGAGTCTATACAGATTGGTCCGCACAAAGTGCAGTTAGAAATGCTGGTGCTGGAGTGTACATAGAATTTCCAGATGGTACTAGGGATAAGTCCAGCGTACCAACCGGGAAGTACTGCCATAGCTATGATGCAGAAACTGCTAAATACCAATCTTGACTCACAGTATGTGGTAATGCTGATAGATGCAAAATCCGTACTTGAAACACTCCAGTCTAAAAAACTACAAGATTTGCAAACACCGCTGACACAACTCAGCCTTCAGCTAAGAGTCGTAATGCAGTGGATACCGTCCCATTATGGAGAGCCTTGAAATGAGAAAGCTGATCAACTGGCAGGAGAAGGTGCGACAAAAGTGCAGCCGGGTGTACAAGTCACATACCACCAAAAGAAAAGGATCATTAAATCGATCAGGAAACCACCAGCCTCAGCACAAGACGACTATTTTATTTTGGACAAATCAGAACAAGTCATTATCCTCCGCCTCGGAACATTACACAACCGATTACGTAACCACGTGTACTTAAAATTCAAGATAGGCGTATCAGCCATATGAACCTGTGGAAAGGTGCCCCAGACAGCAGAGCATGTACTCCAGGACTGCATCGAATTTGACACATTAAGGTTAACCTTTTGGCCAGAAAGAACAACAGTGGAACGTAAACTCCATGGACCACTGAATGACCTAACAAGAGACAAAATTGCTGATATAGACAACTTTTTTCAGGCGAACGAAAGAAGAAGAGAAGACTGAGGAATTGGAATGAATAGGAATTACAACGGTTTTCTCAATACTCAGTCTAAGAAGACTTAGGTGGCTGGGTCACACCTTGGGAATGGAGGATTGTAGAGTCATAAAGGACATCCTTTATCATGAATTAAAGACGAGTAGAGGGTGTCGAGTCTGAACTCTACTACGATATAAAGATGTGTGCAAGCGAGACATAAATGATACAGGTATTAAAGTGGACTCGTGGAAATACTATGCCATTGACCGTGCTATACTGAGGAGGCACATTAGGAAGGGAAGGAGAATGAAGGAAGGAATGAATACAGAAAGTATGAGAGCTCAGCGTCTGAGAAGAAACAGACTAAACACACAGGTGGTAGATGTTATGTGTACGTAAGTGGTAGATGTGTTACGTACGTAGTTGGTAGAGTGTTATGTCCGTAGGTGGTAAATGTGTTATGTACGTAAGTGGTAGATGTGTTATGTACGTAGGTGGTAGATGTGTTATGTACGTAAGTGGTAGATGTGTTATGTACGTAGTTGGTAGAGTGTTATATGCGTAGGTGGTAGATGTGTTATATACGTAGGTGGTAGATGTGTTATATACGTAGGTGGTAGATGTGTTATATACGTAGGTGGTAGATGTGTTATATACGTAGGTGGTAGATGTGTTATATACGTAAGTGGTAGATGTGTTATATACGTAGGTGGTAGATGTGTTATATACGTAGGTGGTAGATGTGTTATATACGTAAGTGGTAGATGTGTTATATACGTAGGTGGTAGATGTGTTATATACGTCGGTGGTAGATGTTTTATATACGTAGTTGGTAGAGTGTTATATACGTAGGTGGTAGATGTGTTATATACGTAGGTGGTAGATGTGTTATATACGTAGGTGGTAGATGTGTTATATACGTAGGTGGTAGATGTGTTATATACGTAAGTGGTAGATGTGTTATATACGTAGGTGGTAGATGTGTTATATACGTCGGTGGTAGATGTTTTATAAACGTAGGTAGTAGATGTGTTATGAACGCATTGACATGTGTCACTTAGTGTCTCGAGGCCATCATCAGTAGATCCAGGTATATACTGCATGGCGTGACATGTGCGGTGTATTTTGTGCATCTGAGTCTGTATCTTATTTTCTATTCGTTCTATGGTAGTGTCCTTAGTGCTGTAATGTCGATTCTTAATTCAATATTCAACATTCGACTTATAGAAAGGAACTTACGACACAGAGTTGCATTTCGCCAAGGATACATTTTCTTGGTTGCTATAACGCATTCGGTTTGGTATTGTTCAAATGATGAACAGACAGACTCCATGGCTGCAGTAAGGTTTGTTTCGTACAGATCCGTGCAGAAGACTTGCAAACAGGTTCCTAGGTAACTCTCCACAGGAACCTGCAAGAAACAATTTGTAGTTTTCCTGTCACAAATTTGAATTCTTAACACAAATACATGAATGCACAACTTACTGTATAGTTATCTATAGATACTTTAAGAAAATAAAAAGATCAAAAGTAAGAAAAACCAACGGTACAGTGTGAAAGTTTACAAAGACGTAACCAAACGTGACGCATATAGAATTATATATCTGTATCTGTGAAGCTAATGGCAAACTACTGGACATAAATTTACCCAGAAAAACTACAACAGCCAAAAAAGCTGGGATTAGTTCTGCAACGTCCTGTAAAGGATACGCCACTAACCTTAGATCTGTGAAGCTGCTGCTATGTAGTGGTTTTCTTCTTCGTTTTCTCGTCTTCCTTCTCCTCTTCTTCCTCCTCTTCTTCTTCTTCTTCTTCTTCTTCTTCTTCTTCTTCTTCTTCTTCTACTTCTTCTTCTTCTTCTTCTTCTTCTTCTTCTTCTTCTTCTTCTTCTTCTTCTTCTTCTTCTTCTTCTTCTTCTTCTTCTTCTTCTTCTTCTTCTTCTTCTTCTTCTTCCTCCTCTTCTTCTTCTTGTTCTTGTTCTTCTTCTTGTTCTTGTTCTTCTTCTTCTTCTTCTTCTTCTTCTTCTTCTTCTTCTTCTTCTTCTTCTTCTTCTTCTTCTTCTTCTTCTTCTTCTTCTTCTTCTTCTTCTTCTTCTTCTTCTTCTTCTTCTTCTTCTTCTTCTTCTTCTTCTTCTTCTTCTTCTTCTTCTTCTTCTTCTTCTTCTTCTTCTTCTTCTTCTTCTTCTGCTGCTGCTGCTGCTGATGATAATGATTCCTTTTCTTTTCCCTCATCAACATCGTCATCTTCTTTTTCTACAATGCATTCAGCGTAATGCAAATTTGAAATGATAAACTGCAGGTAGGTACACAATTAATTTAAATAATATTTGGTAGTTACTTCTCATGCTCATTTGAAATTATCTAGTGTAGTAACGTCCAACATTCATATGGAAAGAGGAGGTAGGGGGGGGGGGGGGGTGTGAAGTGTAGTCAGTTTCATGTTCGTTTGAAGCAAAAAAAGTAAGCTTCGCTACAACGTTCATTAAACGTGATAACAGTCTATAAATACTTGCAGCACTTACGAACACCAACAGTATGCATTTATTTGTTTAGTTTTAATCATAAAGACAGCTTTATTGTAGCATTTACTCTATTGATAGAATTGTATTCAATCAAATGCAACCTCCTGAATGAAGGTTAAATGCAATGCTTGGCCAACACATGCTGTCTTTTGTCTTGATAGTACACTATCATATTGCTGTTTGTCCATTTCTGATGCTGTCCTTCCAAGCGTATCATTGTCTAACTCTCGCTGTTGATACAGCTTACTTCATTAAAACGCTAATTTAGTTTACACTGTTGTCAACATACTTTTGTCACTTGGTATGTTCATAAATGGAGTATTTTAGTGAAATCAAACACAAAAAAAGAATGTGTGAATATAAATACCATCATTCAACCACCTGTATCTTCTACCATTCAACCACTTGTATCTTCCACAATTCAACCAGCTGTATCTTCCACCATTCAACCACCTGTATCTTCCACCATTCAACCAGCTGTACCTTCTACCATTCAACCACTTGTATCTTCCACCATTCAACCAGCTGTATCTTTCACCATACAACCAGCTGTATCTTCCACCATTCAACCACCTGTATCTTCCACCATTCAACCACCTGCATCTTCCACCATTCAACCGCCTGTATCTTCCACCATTCAACCACCTGTATCTTCCACCATTCAACCACTTGTATCTTCCACCATTCAACCACCTGTATCTTCCACCATTCAACCAAGTGTATCTTCCAACATTCAACCAGCTGTTTCTTCCACCATTCAACCAGCTGTTTCTTCCACCATTCAACCACCTGTTTCTTCTACCCTTCAACCACCTGTATCTTCCACTATTCAACCAAGTGTATCTTCCAAAATTCAACCAGCTGTATCTTCCACCATTCAACCAGCTGTTTCTTCCACCATTCAACCACCTGTTTCTTCTACACTTCAACCACCGGTATCTTCCACCATTAAACCAAGTGTATCTTCCAACATTCAACCACTTGTATCTTCCGCCATTCAACCACCTGTATCTTCCACCATTCAACCAAGTGTATCTTCCAACATTCAACCAGCTGTATCTTCCACCATTCAACCACCTGTATCTTCCACCATTCAACCACCTGTATCTTCTTCCCTTCAACCACCTGTATCTTCTTCCCTTCAACCACCTGTATCTTCCACCATTCAACCAGCTGTATCTTCCACCATTCAACCACCTGTATCTTCTACCATTCAACCACCTGTATCTTTCACCATTCAACCAGCTGTATCTTCTACCATTTAACCACCTGTATCTTCTACCATTCAACCAGCTGTATCTTAGACCATTTAACCACATGTATCTTCCACAATTTACCCACATGTGTCTTCCACAATTTAACCACATGTATCTTCCACTATTCCACAACATGTATCTTCCACCATTCAACCACCTGTATATTCCACCATTCAACCAGCTGTATCTTCTACCATTCAACCACCTGTATATTCTACCATTCAACCAGCTGTGTCTTCGACCATTCAACAACATGTATCTTCCACAATTTAACCACATTTATCTTCCACCATTCAACCACATGTATCTTCCACTATTCAACCGCATGTATCTTCCACCATTCAACCACCCATATCTTCCAACATTCAACCACCTGTATCTTTCACAATTTAACCACATGTATCTTCCACCATTTAACAACCTGTATCTTCGACCATTCAACCACATGTATCTTCCACCATTCAACCAGCTGTTTCTTCCACCATTCAACCACCTATATGCTTATTATAAGACAGAAATATAAACTAAATACGAAATTCAAATATCTGAAGTAGCATTACAAAATGGGAACCACGGCTGTGTAGCGGCTTGATGATCGCTTACAGGTCAGAAGGTCGTGGGTTCAAATCAAAACCGGGACATACATTTTCAAAAATGACCTTGGCTCTCAGGTTGACCTAGCCTCTAATGGATACCAGGTGAATTCCAGGGAAGTAAAAGCGCCCGGCATGGTCTTGACCAAAATTACCCACGAAGTACAAATATACGTATAGCACTATGCAAGATACGCCTGAAGGCATGCATAAGGGTTGTTTACTTACTTTGTTACGAAATACAGGAATGAACCAATTGTGATAACAGGGCTAACATGGCAGTATATAAAATACATCAAGGGAATTTCAAGATAATTTTTTTTTTTTTAAATTCAGAGTAAAACAATAAGATGGAAAAATCAACAAAAGTGCATTAAACACTAGTTACTTACAGCATCGTGACAGCTCTTAAAATCATAAAGGGGTGCACAGGCAGCATTAGCTGATTTCAGATCTTCCGGTTTACAAGTCTTAAGTCCTTGCCCGCACTGAAAATAAAAATAAAAAGATGTTTATTATACCGGTTAATGTTAATAAAAGCAGCCACGTACCACATCGAGCAAAGAACTGACAGTGCAATAATCCCGTCCCCCCCCCCCCCCCCCCCCAGCAATTATTCAGGAGACAAAAAATCTGGCAGGTAACTGAGAATTGCAGTATACTAGGCAGTTAATTGACGCTAAAATTAATTGAGCAGTTAACTACGCATACTACAATACATCAATCTATCAAGATACTGTAACATATTGTGAGCAATTAAATGACCCTACCATACATGCGCCAATCACTGACTACACAAAAGATAGAGCAATTCACCGAGTGTACCCTACATCGAGCAATTCACTGACTATACAAAATATAGAGCAGTTCATTGAGTGTACGCAATTAACAAACCGAATTGGTTTGTGTGTATGTGCGTGCATGTGTGTATTCGTGTGTGTACATGTGTGCGTGTATGTGCATGTGTGTATCTGTGCGCGTAGCTGTATGCGTCTCTGTCTATGTTTGTTTTGTTTGTTTTAGTATCCAGAAGCCATGAGTTGTTAACCCTTAGGGTTATGTATTATGCTCTGTATTATAGATATCGCAACCTTTCGGCCTTGATTCCATTGTAAATACCGTAAATCTAGGAGAAATGTGGCTTTTCTGCCTACCCTCGGGAGTGAACCCGAACCACAAGGAGTTCGTCACCCGGTCAATACGCAATCCGGTTTAACCAATTACGCTAGAGAGCCAGGCGTCTCTGTATATATGTATGCATGTGTATTTTAATGTGGTATCTTATTTCACGTATGTGATGATATTTCCTTTGCCTCCCAGCCTACTGATTCGGTTTACGCAGCATGCATGCAGAAGAAGGTGAGAACAGACATGATTCGTACAGTGGCATGCTTCGCTTCGGAGGTCAGGGGTGAAGAGCATTTGTCCGGATCTTTTCTCCCGGGTCTTGGGAGAATGAAGAGACAAATAGATTGTCTGGCTCTACACGACTTAGTGGAATATCGATGCATGTTAAGGCAGACACTGATAAGCTCTTATAGAAGCCCGTAAATAATTCAGAGGAGCCAATGGATTATCACAGTCTGGTGAGAGTGAAACAGCGAGGAATGAGGAGAGGATTTGGT